GGGAGCCTCAGTGCGGCACCGGGCCCACTAACACAGGACTAAGAAGACTATTAGAGAAAAAGTGAGATTGGCACAGAAGTCATATTGGTTACAGATAGCAATGGGGCCTAGAATTATTTCCCCAATAAAATACATAATTAGATATTGATTGTAAGACTAAGGCACCAGCTGCAATTTAAACAGTTGCAAGCAATTGCATCAGTTCCTGGTGTTATCTAAATATTATCCAACATAGGAGAAATGCTTGAAAAGCATTGAGTATCTAACGTGAAACATTTCCTTTAGGGCAGTTGAAGTAAACTTCCTCTTCATTAGTGTTTTGAAGCAAGTTCTATCTGGATCTAAAGTATACATGTTTGAGAAAAATAAGATACCCAAGTTGATGGTGGGATAAATTTTTTTATTTAAATTAGAAACAAGCTTGCTTCACATGTCAATTCCAGCTCCCTCTAACTCCCCTCCTCCCCTGTCCCCCAGCAAACCCTGCATCCTCCCACTCCATCCTCCCTCCCCTCCCCATGGAGGAGAGATCTGGCACCAGTGAGATTTTCAGAGATCCACAAGGATGACACCAACTGGCAATCTAGGCAATAGTGGAGAAGCTAACTTAAGTGCCCTTCCCCAATAATGAGATTGATGACTACCTTGTATGTCATCCTAGAGCCTTCATTCAGTGGCTGATGGAAGCAGAGGCAGACACCTACAGCTAAACACTGATCTGAACTCCTGGAACCTAGCTTCAGAGAGGTAGGAGTGATGAGCCAAGGGGTCAAGACCAGGCTGGTGAAACCCACAAAGACAGCTGACCTGAACAAGGGGGAGCTCATGGACCCCAAACTGATGGCTGAGAAGCCAACATGGGACTGATCTAGACCCTGAATGTGGGTGTCAGTGAGGAGGCCTTGGAAATCTATGGGGCCTCTGGTAGTAGGTCAATATTTATCCCTGGCGTATAAATGGACTTGGGGATCCCATTCCACATGGAGAGATATTCTCTCAGCCTCGATACATGGAGGAGGGCCTAGACTCTTTCCTGGATGATATGACAGACTTTGGGGATAAATTTCTTTATTTTAATAAAGTTAGTATCTTTACTTAAAAATTGTAAAAACATTAAACCCTATTGCTGTCCAATTTTGTATATGGTATAAATTAGATGGGATATCATATCTATGTGACAATATATATATGTATAATACATTTCAATATGCTTGAACATCCATACATAATGTATATTTCAGTGTATAATGTAGAATTTATACATAATCATAATTTAGTATATCTCACATATATGTTCATACATCAAACAACCATGATAGAAGGTAAAAAAATAATAAGCATTATTTTATTCATTTTAGATACACATCTTAAAATTGTTTAAAGTTTTTTAATTACTAATAGAAGAAAATTAAAATGATTAGGGAATATGAATCCAAATTTTAAGAAAGAACATAAGTAGCAAATTAATCAATGAAGAATACAAATGACATCTGTGTACTTTTACACACTAGGAAGTGCTTCTCCTAAATGATGCTGCTGATGAGTGTAGACAGATCCCAGGTAGCACAGATTCAGTGCTTGCTGGAACCACAGTGTCACTCTCTACTCTATGGGGAGCAGTCCTCAGAGTATCACCTAACTAGTGGTGGTGTGACAAGAGCATTACCTAAACTAGTGGTAGTGTGAAAAGGACTTGAAAATGATTCACTAATAAAAGAACCAGGGTCTCATATCATACATCAGACAGAGGTGGATCTGGTAGTCGGACCCAAGGTGTTTCCACAACTGTGGGTTCTAATCAGATGCAGTTACTCTGATACAGGCTGTCAATCTCCATTGGAGTCAGTGAAAACACATCATGAATTGAAGAGTGGCAAAGCAAATGTGCATCCTTATTCCACAGCCTGTCCCAAGTCAACGGCAAATGTATTTCAGTGATATTTGAAGACAGTGTAAGCAACATCTTTCCAAGGCTTTCTTACTTTAGTGTCTGGATGAAGTCATAACTACCATAAAAATGGGCTGTTGTTTCTGAGTTGAAGGTCAAGGAAACAATCACTGATGGAAGCTATAGATGAGTATCTATATGAGTACATGCATATATGTGTGTGTATATGTGCATGTAGGTTTATATGTGTATGTGTGCATGTATGTGTATGTCTGTGTTTATATGTGTATGTGTATGAACGTGTGTGTGTGTGTGTGTGTGTGTGTGTGGTGTTTGAATGAGAATGGTCCCATAGACTCATACATTTGAACACTTGGTCCCCAGTTGATGAGACTGCTTGGGAAGGATTAGGAGGTGTGACTTTGTTGGAGAAGGTGTGTCACTAGGGGCAGGCTTTGAGATTTCAAAAGATTTGTGCCATTCCCAGTGTGCTCTTTGCCTCCTACTTGTGAATCAAAATGTGAGCTCTCTGATGCTGTTGCATCCACCCATCACGTCCTTCACTCCATCAGCTTAGACTCTATCCCCCTGGATATATCAGCCCAATTAAACTCTTTCTTTTTGAAGTTGCTTTGGTCCTAGTGCTTTATTACAGCAATAAAAAAGAAGGTAAACAGTGTTTGTATGGATATGTGTATATGTATGAGTGTTTACACATATGTGTATCAGGGTGTGTGCTTATGTGAGTGAATGTGTATATTCATTTGGAGATGATAGGGGGCATTGATGTTCAGCAGACTGAAGGGCCCAACATTCCTTTAAGATCTGTCAGAGGTTCATCCATGTCAACTCCTACTTGCAACATGAGTTCATCTTGAGGTCTTAATAGTAGAAGGCTGGAGTCAGGTACAGGGGAAAACACTGAGAGATCAGAGAGACAAATGAGCAAAATTGCAGCCACCTTACCTACTGAGCTTCTCAACTGAAAGGAGACTGAGCTCCTGTTTCTTCCTGTCTTATCACTTCCTCTCTCTGTCCAGCCATATCACTTCCTGTCTGTCTCTACAGACCTCCAGACCTCTATGGTTAAGTAGTTGCTAGGTCTGTCCTCTGATCTTCAGGTGCAGCTTTATTTGTTAGAGTATAAAAAAGATATCACTATACCTACTAGTCTCATAATTCTGGAAGTTTAGTTATTTATACTTAACAGCAGATAATTCTACAAATAAGCTGATTTATTTTTACATGTTTGGTAGTTAATCCAGCTACTAAGTAACATACTTTTGCTTGATCTTTGTGTGGCTCTAAGATCCTGTGCTGGCTGTAGCACTGCCTCTGCATAAGGGCTGGGATGAAAAATCAAAGCACTCGACTGGCCCTCAGCATGTGACCAGAGAAGGCAGCATGAGGAAGTCTATGGATGCACCTGATTGATTCATCAGTGCAGCTGGTAGATGGAGACCCATTCAGCAGTCGGTGCCAAGGAACCTATCACAAACAGCATAGGTGTGGGATGAAAAGAACCTGGTCCAGGGAAACAGCACAAGACCTGAGGGATACAGATGAAGTTCTATGTCGGCTGTCATGGTGCTCTTGCTCTAAAGACAGTGTTCCAAGCCCTGTCCTTATGCATAGTAAATACAGACACATCTCTCCACTCATCCTAGAAACTCCTCAAAGAGAGATCCATGCTTAAATAACCACACTCTACCATTACAGGTTTTAAAGCAGATACATTATGGAGAATAGATGGACAAATAGTAAATGAACTTTGATGGAATCATCTGATTAAATCATAAGAGCCCAGATTAGAGGGACCAGGTAGGATAGCTTGATCATAGATCCCAAGGGATTCCAAATCAGAGCTCAGAAGATTCTTCTGTGAAAAGTCACCCCAGGACCTGAAAGGTGAGTCCCCAGGGATCACTGGAACTGGAGCAGTTGGATAGAAAGGATATCAAGACATGGAGACAACAAGGCCATCACCACATGAGAAATGCCACCAAGGAAAAACCAATGCTGATGGTTGTAGACAAACTAGAAAAATACGTCTAGAGAAATGAGGGTGACTATGGAGGGTATAAAAGCTCACACATGGTCCTGTACTGCTGGAATAAGACCATCTAAAGAGTAGGGTAACATCAGGACAACCGCCTTCAAGCAAATAACTTTCTCTTACATAATATTCTAGGTCTGAACTGAGATTGGAGAATGTGGAGAATGTTTACTCCAGTGCTTTACTAGCAGCTCAGGCAAACCAATGGCAGGGAAGTTCCAGGGGTTGTTCCTAGAAGATTCCATTGGTGAAACTGTAATGTGGAACCGTCTTACTTCCAAGTTATCAACCTACCTACTCTCTCCTCTGCTTCAAGAGACCCAGTTTTAAGGAAGTACACCATAATACTCTGGAAAACAAATGTTAAAGAATAAAAGGCTGTATGTGTGTGTGTGTGTGTGAGATAGATAGAGAGAGAGAGAGAGAGAGAGAGAGAGAGAGAGAGAGAGAGAGAGAGAGAGAGAGAGAGAGAGAGAGAGCAATAGTGAGAACAAGAGCTATGGCATCCAAGGGACACCTGGAGTCCCATGTTTTCCTATTGTTCTTAATAAGATTCAACATCGATTCATAGATTAGTCAATACAATCTTCTGGAGGCCACCTGCTCCTTCCCTGAAATGGGAAGCCATTTGTCATCACATGCCTCTTTTCCTGAAGGTCCAAGATCTAAAATAGATGCGGCAATCTTGCATTCACTTTTGAAATATGAACTCATTTTCTAATTATCACACTCATTACCCCCTTGCTTCCATGAAATAGTATGTTATGCTAATTCATTAGCCGATGCCCCATGACGAAAATCAACCACTGCTTCTAACTACAGAGTTCAACTGAATCATCTAGAACAACAGAGCGACAGTAGCAGACCCAAAATGTGAACTCAAAACTTTGACCGTCCTGAGTGGCTGAGGGTAAATATGATATGATACTTGCTGAATGCCTCTTCTTCAGAAGGTAAAGCTGGATAGAACTGCCAGCACCACCTAACTCAAACACTCACTGTTTCTTTCACGTGTTAGAGATCAGAAAGGAACTCAGATTCCACTCTCCTCCCTTACAACCTAATCAATGCATTTATTGTATCGAATGGCCATTGTCACAGATGGAAAGTGAATCAATAAAAGCATGTATGTGTTTATACAGAAAGGTCTGATGTGTAACTAGACATGATAAAATATCACTTAGAAGCTCAAGGCTTTGTAGTGTTAAAGGGTGATGGCCAAGGGTGGTTTAACTGCTGCAACGCACTGAGAAGACCTTTAAATACATGGAATTTTGCATTCTTAAAATTCTGTTGCACTGTTCAGTGCAACTAGTTTTGACTTTTACTGTAGACCAAACAACTGTATAAGCTGTTACTAAATCCCCATGTAGTCTAAGAGGGTGTATGGCTCAAAGGATGTCAGAGATCCAGAGAAACAAGTTATCACACATGCCAGGAAGCAGACTGGAATCCAGGGAGCAGAGTCCAAAGTCCAGGCTGTCTTCATTTTGTCACCTGAAAATACATGAGCAACACATAGCTAATACAGGAGGACTTCTGAGGTCAGATGAGTCAGACATTGCTTGTTTGTAACAATTAGTGTAGTTAATTCTGGCGGTCCCCAGGTATTATGCGCATGGGCCTGGGAGTCACTCTGGGGAAGGAGTAGCAGTTTCTGAGGTGCTATTGCAAGAGATTGGACGGTGTTTATTTTACACTGGCTCATGCGAGAATGAGGCTTCCAGCATCTTCTGGTACTCGAAATTCAGAGAGCTAGTTCTATTCAACACCTTTGAATTTCTTAAGACATCAGTGGGAGCAGCCAAGCCACCTGCCTGTGACTGGGGTGTGAGTCGTGACATCTGCTTGGAAGCCAGCAACTGTGGTGCGAGTCAGGGCATCTCTCTGGAGTGAACCAGCTGTGTGCTGGCTCCTTCCTCTATTACTTGTTAGGGAAGCAGCTTCACTGCACTCTGCCTTGCGTTACCCAGAGGTCTTCACCCCATGAGAAAGAATTCAAGGTATCTTAAAATAGCTATGAATAATGCAAAGACTATGACATGAACCCTAACACATGTTTTAAGCAGCTTGTGAAGGCCAAGCCCACTCAGGGAGGTCATGCTGCAGTTCATCTTCCTCAAAATATGCAACACTGAAAACTAAGAATAAGACTTACTTATCAGTATTTTCCATCCAACTGCATAATTATACTAGTTGATTAGAAGCCTCTTTTTTTTTTAGCTCATTTCTATCTCCAGGGTAGATGTAGAATAAGTTGGCTGTAATTTCAGAGGTTGGAGGAAGCACAGAACTTTGAATTGGTGTACATAAAATGAGAAGCATGTGGGGGTGTGTCCAAAATACGTGTAGTTGATATGTCTAGTGTTAGTGAAAATTTTTATTCACCTGTTTCTGGTTTTCTGCTACAACTCTGAAGGTGCCTAATACATTTTTATACAATCTAAATTTTCTCTTCCTTTACTCTAAATTTTCTCTTCCTTTACTCTCCATTCTAGGATTAATATGTTTTCATAGAAGTAAATTCTAACAGGCAATAACATATAAACTTAATAGTCACTTTTATTCTTTATCCAATAACTGATTAGAACTTTGGAAGATTATTCCCGAATCATACATGATGATCAATTTAATATACAAAGACTTAAATCCTTAAGAGATGTAAACATGATATCTACAAACTTACTTTGTCCTGTAACTGGAAGATGAAACACAGCCCAAGAAAGCATTAAGAATCTTAGGAAGGTGGGGAATTTGACTCTATTTTATTTTCATTTGTGCCTTGTAGATTAAAAAATTATTTTAACTTGAAATAAACGGGTACACCATCTTTCTTATTACCTTCCTTTTGCAGTTGCTTCCAAACCCATCAAAGGCAGTATGCACAAGAAAGGTGGCCACAGAGAAAGCCTTGAAGCCCACAGAATACTCTTCCTTGACCAGACTGGGCCAGGGTTCTAAGTAAATGGAACAGCCGAATTCAGTCCCATAGTTCCTGAAGTCTGTCTCTGCATCTACCCTGCCTGGGGGATCTTTGAAATGTCCCTAGTAATGCAGGTCCCCCAGCAAGAAACTGATTAAATTAACAAGTACATAGGAAGGCTCACCCTGATCAAGGCAAAAGGTGTTTAACAGCAATGAGCAGAGAGAATGAACGGATGCACCTGGCAAGGTGAGAGGGGGGAGGGTCTTGTGGAGAACCTGATGTTTTGTCTGAGCTGGGTCATCAAGTTAACAGACATGAGAGTCGAACCCATGAAGAAGGATTGATGTAAGTTTAATTGCACAGATGTTTGAGTGCACCGAAAACCGGAGTGATGCTTTGAAAAAAAACAGCAAAGCTGGGAAGTTGGAACACAAGGCAACAGTCAGGATGAGTAGAAAGTCAGGCTGGAGAAGTCGATGTGAAAAGTGAGCATCTGAAGTGAGAGTTTTAAGTCTAATTTGAGAGCTGCAGTCGCATCACCAGAAGGGTGTGGTCTCGTTTCATTTCATATATTTTGTTGGAGTATTATACAAATCCAGAAGGGATGTGTGTCTTGAAGTTTCACTGATAGGATGCACTGCTACAGATCAGGACACGCAATAGTCTCAGGTGGCTCTGCAAGGACTGCCCACGTCCCTTTCCTGCCATCCACACCCACACCGACACCACGCCACACCTATTGACTGCCGGCACTATGTGGGGTGAGTGGAAGCAGAGGTCTTGAGAGCAACTGAGACTCTCCAAGTGACCTTTACCTCAGGAGTTAGTAGGCTAGAAGCTCATGATCTCACAAAACTTTTGAGTCGGTGGCTGCAGGCTCTTGTCTGGAAAATTTTAAGGATGAAATTCATAAGCCACAGAACAGTAAGGTGTAGAAATTGTATTATAAAGAGTTCAAGATAAAAAGGCAGAACCTTTTTACAACGGGAGCCAGTCCCTGGAAATAGGTACCATCAAGCTGCTGATACTGGGGCTAATAGGAGAAACTGGGGTAGCCAGGAAGCAGTAAGGCCAGATGGATCATCATCAAGCTGCCCATGAGCCTTCTTTCAGTTTCTGTTCTCTTATCCTTATCTGGAAGCTACGTGTGAGGCTGTGACAGAACTGCCAGTGGGACCAAGGGCATTTCCAGAACTGTTCCTTTGAGGGTCCCTGCCCCAGAGCCAACAGACCAGTTCCCACCTCCTGTTCTCAACACTGATGGTTTCTTTTGTCCAGTTTCGAGTCAGAGGAATGGAGTGATATGACATGACATGTCTGCTCTTCCTCGGCTTTTCAATACTATGGTTGAGGGTTTCATCCACATTGCAGCAGAGAGCTGAGTGTATTCATTCCCGTTGTGGAGTTGTTTACTGCCCTACTGTAAGCTGTGCATACTTCATCCGTTTCAGCTTGAGATGGGCAAGGGAACTATTTCTGAATTTGAGCTAGTCACAGAGACTCGCGAATCATGGGACTATGCTTGCCATGTTTTTGCTTGTGTGTCACACCCTGGACTCCAATCTGGTGATCTGATCTCTCTGTCCCTCTCATTCTTCCCCTTCCCCAGGTCTCTGTCTCTATTTCCCTCCTGACACTTTGATACTTTCTGTGTTGAGCCCCTCATGTGAGTCAACAACCAATGCACACACTCCACTCTTGAGAACAGTGAACTAAACAAACCATCTGTTTGAGAAGCTACCCAACCTGAAGTGTTTTGTTAAGAAAACTGGATGAGAAAAGATAATCAGGTGTGCAGTGTTGGATCTGAGCTATGAGCAAATAATTCTGCAGCCATTACATGCACACATCTTGCTGACATACGAACTAGTTTGTCTCTGTTGACGAGACATGCATATGCTGAGTACATGGTGTTCAGTGTTAGCACACAGATGCTTCTTCACTCATGAAAGGATTACCTCCCATAAACTCGTGAGAAGTTGGAAACATCAGAGGTTAAAAGTGACGTTCCTAAACCTCATCTGCTAAGTATCACAACTGAGTAGCACTGTGCACTACAGGCCGTTGTTTCCCAGCAGAGCAGCAGGGAGAAGGGACACAGAGACCCAGCCTCTAGAGTTGGGAGCGGAGGGAGAGAGAGAGAGAAAGGGAAAGAGGAAAACAGGGAGAGAAAGAGACAGAGACACAGAGAGAGGAGGGGAGAGGGGAAGTGTGAGTGGGGAGAGGGGAGAAGAAAGAGAAGAGGGATGTGAGAGAGAGAGGGAAGAGGGTGAGGGAGAGAGAGATGGGAGGGGCCTGCTTTTGATAAGGGGGTATAGCACATGCGCACAGGGAGAACTCTGTTGCAGTAGCTGCCACTGGATCATGTATTCTGTCAGGATCCTTAGCCCTGGCCAGTGAAGATGCCTGACTACTGACAAGAGCATGAGCACAGAGAATGTTCTTAGTAGCTGAAGCTGAAGACCCTGAATGCTACCAGACACTACAGTGGAGAGAGTGTTGGTTTATCTTCTCATGGCCAACTTCCCAGCAGGAAAGACAATCTTTTGTGAGTCCAGAAAAGATCAAAATTCAAAAGATGATTTATATTAAATATGTATTGATTTCCTACCTCTGTCTGAACAGTTTTGCATTTTCCTACAATGCACAGTTCATCATCAGCAGTCTATGGTGTTCTGAGTGTCCCACATCCTTGCCAACTTCCGTACTGTATTTTCCCTTTAATCGTAGTCGATGGGAGCCCTCTGCAGTGTATCTTGAAGAGGATGACCCTGGAGAGAGTCAGGGGAAACATAGAGATAATTCCAGAATGACGTGGGCCAAGTGCAGAGTGGGGCCAGGAAAGGCAATCTTCTCATTCTACCAGTGTCTGTCCTTTACCAGTACCAGGGAATTAAGGGACGTAAAATACCCCTGGAAGCTGTGATGAAGTAGTCCCCAATCCCTCATGCATATTCATAGCTCTCCTTTCGATGATAAGATAATTTCCATTTATATAGGTTCCTTAGACCTTTGCAAATGAAGCAAAAAAGATGCAGCCCTGTGATGCCATTCAACAGAAGAGAGAAAACACAGAAGTCCAGGTGTGCTTGCCCATCCTACCCCTCTGTTATGGAGCAAGACTGAGGAGCTTGTGTCTTCAGGAGTTCCACAAAAACCAGCCTCCTCAGGGTCCTTGGCAGTGGATGATAACGTGGCAGAGTGGTGAGGGCACCTGCCCCTGCTCCAATCTGGAGCCCCCTTCTGTGGGACAGGCAGGTGAGGACAAGGGGCCACCAGATGGACAGGCATCCAGCCAAGGCACCTGCAGACAACAGAGGCGTTTTGGTTTCTTCTGAATAGCTTGGCTAATGATGATCGCTTGATGTAGGAACAAGGATGTGGTTTGTGCATTAAAGGTGTTTAAGACAGTGTTCAGAAAGTTGTCAGGCCTTACAATTTAATTGGTCATTTCTGAGAGGTAGGGTTCATGGGGTATTAGGAAACTAGTAGCCATGGTTGGTTACAGACTACAGCTCCTGGGACTCCATTTGACATCTCCTTCCCCCAAAACCATTTGTAGGGCACAGTGCCCTTAACACACACAAGCAGGCCATGGTTCTCAAGAGACACTTTAATGGAGCACCTGAACATCACATGGGCACAGTTCCTATAGAACAGGGAACCATGAAGGTTGACATTGGGCCTGTGAAGAAATTGGCAGAGGAGCTCTTTGTCACTAGGTCTTCTTACTGAAACAAATGCTATTCTCTGTAGTCAAGTAAATATGCATTTCTAGCACTGCCCCATCCTTTTCAAATCCTATTTCCTAGTGCATGAAGTCTGTGTGACCTTCTTTCTGGTCCTTAACTGACTGGGACTCTGAAACTAGCACCCTTAATACCCTTAGCAAAAAAACTTTTCCTCAACCCCAGCCCTTATCCTTTGGAGTAGCCTTCTCTATCTCTGCTAATAGCAGGACTGACTTCCCTAGTGGCTGATCCAGACTGACCCTTGAAGATGTCTTCATTTCATTCCTGCTCTCCCTTCCACTTATCATGCTCTGTCAGAGTCTGATCAGTTCTGCTTCCCATAGACCACTGCGTGTAACACTCCTGCTTCTCCTGCTGCACACACACACATACACACACACACACACTTATTTATCATAGATTTATATCTACATACCTTATTAATTTTTATATATGGTATTATATGTATAATGAGGTATAAATATATATGTATGTATACATACACGTATCAAGCACTTATCTTAAAATACTCAGATTTTAAATAACCAATATTCTCCCAGTGTCTGAAAATGAAATGCAAATCCTTCCAATAGCATTCAAGCCCTTCAGAACAGACAAACTGGGTTGCCTTTCTAACATCTTTCCATTGTTCCTCACCCACCTTTGCTGTCCAGCTTAGTAGACTTTAAGTTGACATTTAAATCCACCTATTTTAGGGAAGGTCTTTGGAATCTATTTCCGGTAATAGAGAGGTAGGAAGGGATTCCGCCTCTGCCTCTAAGGTCATTAACACGTATTTGTATCCATTTGACCCATGTTTTATGCATAAAGTAAGTACTACATTTTACTTACTGTAACCTTTGTTTTCAAATCCCAGATTTTACTATGTAGTCTATACAGGTCTCAATATTGCTATTATCCTGCATCAGATTCCTAAATTATGGGATTTAAATGTACCATCTTCACTCCTCGATACATTTTAATATTGTGTGCATAATTTCCACTTAAAAATACAAGAAATTTTAAGTTCATTGCTTAAAACAAAACAAAACAAGCAAAACTTTTCTGAGCTACGACATCGAATGCCGTGACCCTCATGATCTCCCACAGCCTGCGATGTCTTTTCACACCAGCTAAACCTCTGTCTCTCCAGTCCAGCAACATTTCCAAACCACCTTCAAGGTGCTTCAAGCAAAAGTGCTTTTTTACGGCTTGTTTTCCCGCTGTCATCTCTCAGACTCTGTCCCTCCCCTGAAGAGCGGCTCGCGGGCACTAGCCCGCCTGTGGCTTCTCCTGAGATGCTCAGGTGTGTAAGAGGTAGGTAGGCTGCAGACACCCCAATAGAACAACTGAGAAAACCTCTACTCAGACACCCCACTTCCCACTCAGCCGCTCTGCCTCTTTAGAGAGAAATTCCTAGCTTTCAACCAAGGAACAAATACTGTCTTGGAAAGACTCACTGTGTGTCAATGAGGGGACAGTGTTCAATCCAAACAACCTGATTTCTGTCCCTTTGCACAGTTCGGTTTCCTGTACCCATTTCTGGAAGAGGGTCCAGCCCTTGAAAGTGAGTCTTATCTTCATTAACTCTCCCATGCTGACATTCTGCCCGCAACACGTGTTCATTTCTTTAACAGTCTTTCCCCTGTACAGTGTATCTTCCAGAAATCAATTAACATTCTAGTTCACTTAAACTCCTTCCCTTCTTTAAGGATTTTAAAATGCAGTGTTAGAGAAGAAAACACTCCTTCTGGCGGCAAGAATAGAATCTCAGGCCTGTGTTAGGCACGGCCAATCACTTGGTCAAGGGACCACCACAGGAAGGCAGGTTCACTTGAAGCCATGCTAAAGAGACAGCTGGAATAATTAGTCCTTTAATGAGATACTCTACTTTTTTTACTAAATCCCCACCCCTAGTGCAGTGCATAGCTGTGTACGTCTTCCACTTTACTGAATTACTAAGAAAAGCATAACTTCTCTTTTCTTCTGTTTCTTTTCTAAGCATGTTTTCCTTAACACTTTGGGCTTCCTCAACATTTTGGCCTTCCTTCCTTTTTCTCTAAAGCCTCCTGCCCTGCCATATGGCTGTTTGTCTGCCATGTGTCTGATTTCGTGCCAGCTTCAATACTTGGCTATTTTTGCCTCTCCCTACCATTCTCCTTCTCCAGGCAGCTGTTGAGATGTACAGCTTGCTTGCTCTGGGTTTTTATCTTTTAACCTTTAACACAATAGTCTTTGAGTTTCTGTTTGAGTTCATTCTAGGAACCCCAAGAGGAGGCCCCGATTTCCCCTGTATCACAAGTTCTCCCACTTTGCAGAATTCATTAAAAAATAGCAAACATTGTTTTGAACTGAAGATGTATGAGATCCAAGTAGCTTGAGAATTGAAAATGTTCAAGATAAAAAGGATTAGGTGGTGTTATACGTTGATTTTTAAATGTCCCCTGTGGGTTTACATTTACAGCACATCTTCTCTTGTTGTTATTGCTGCCTTAAAAGCCTATGAAACCTTCAGGAGATGGGATCTGGGTGACAAAAGTAGGTGACTAGACGTGGCCATTGCAGGTTAAAGTTCAGCCCCTAGTTCCAGCCTAGTTCACCATCTCCTGGTCCACCATAAAAGTCTGACCAGAAATAAATTAAATCTAAAGAGCTGTACAGAATTGAAGGTAAAACTAGCAAAAGGCATCAAATCCAGCAGTGTATAAGACAACAGCAACAAATGGGAAGATGAAGGTCTGGGCCACTGGAGAGCCACGGGCAGCACAGCTCCGGTCTTTCCAGTGACTTTTCTGTAGTCGAGCAATTCTTAGGGGCAGAATGAGAAGCCAGAATCCTCACCTGTGACCTGATCCAGTTTGCTGTGCAGGGAAGCCCTGTGATTCCCAAGCTGTTGAAATGAACAGTCCCCCACCAACAGATTGTGATGTCATAGACCTGACAGTGTTTCAAATATTGAGCTCAGGCTTCAGGACCCTTGCCATGCCAGCAAGAAAGCAAATACAGCATCAACACACAGCTAACATTTAGGCCCTGCTCCCAAATCAATGTGACAGCTTTTACTATGAAATCAATGAAAGTCAAGCCCGGAAAGAAATGGCCCTCATTCTGTAGGCATACACTGATCAATTAAAGGACCTATTACAGAGAAGTCAGGCCAGAGAAGGGTAGTTGAATGTGTCTTTATGTATATGTGCTCAAATGAAAGGGAAAAAGTGCCAATAAAATAACCAGCCATTTGGTTACCATAGCTACCCAAAAAACACACTCACATGCACTTGCTCTATGACGTCTTAATGGCCCATGGTATTAAAAACAGTTGAAGAGAGCCAAGATTATTTTCATAGTGACTTGTAGGAAAGATGATGATAAGAACGAAGCCTTGGAAAGAGCGGGTTCCGAGTGTGTTTGTGTGTACTTCTCCCACGAGGGGAGAAATGCATACAGTCTCCGAAATGAATCACCATCCCGGAACCACATAGCTGCAGCCTTGGGGCCTAACTTCATTTCTGTAGAAACGAAGCAGTTCAACGATGCACAGAAATTAGAGCATCAGGAGTGGGGAGGGGCACTGAACAAAAAAAATGAGCTGTAATGAAATCTGAAATGCCAGAGAACTCTATTGTCACTTACTTTGTGTGACCATGAGGGACAAGAACCTGGGTAATGACAGGTCACCATGGTTAAAACTGCAGCACTAATGAGTGTAACCTGCTGGTGAGAACCAGTGATCTCCATAAAGTACAATACTAATGGAAATAGCCCATTGGGGGAGGCTGATGTTTATGATGTAGGAAAGAGGAAAGAGAAAATGTCTCTATCCACTTAAACATCTAGTGTTTCAACAAATAGTGCCTTTTTTAAATTGGCTGAGAAATTTCCCCTGTAAATGCGTGCTCCTTATGTTTCTCCCTCATAGAATCCAATCTTCTAACTTTCTCCTGGGTGAATAAATCATCCAGGGCTGTCTGTGGCCCTCTTGGGAGTGTTTCTAGGTGGGACAGCAGCAAGTATGTCCACATGAAAAGCTGATATCAAGCAGGCTTCTAGGGAGAAAAGGGGGTACAGTTAGGGTCAGGCACTAGCTGGGGTCCTCAAACCTCATGCCACAGAAAAACCAAAGTCAAGGAGAGCCATCTCTCTGCTTCTATAATAAAGCTGTCTTGTGTATGCACTTGAGTGTGTGTCCAGGTTGACACTTCAAGATCTTCCTGTCTCTATCTCTCAAACATTGAGATTATTACAGGCATGCTTCACCATGCCTAATTGGTATGTTGCTGGGCACTGAACTGAGTGTCATGTATGCCAGTGAGTATTCTATCAAGTAAACAATGCCCAACCCTACATGACAGTCACCTTGTAATTTGGAGCAGGGGCTCACTGGCCTGAGAAGCACTGCTTAAGAAGCCAACCATCTCTGCTTCCCCAGCAGTGTTTAGAGGAAGGCACCATAGCGTCTGGCTTTTCACATGGTTCTGGGGCTTGAACTCAGGTCCTCAGGCTTACAAGACTAGTACTTTACCAACTAAGCCATTTCCCACCCCAGAGCTTTCTCTGAGTTGTTTAGTTGTCTTTGTTGTTGCTGTTTGGGGAGTTCGGAGGCTCCATTTTATATTGTTTTTGTAGAAAAATGATAAAGGGAACAAGCTTCTGGATGACTGCCCCATGGAAATAATTCTCCCTATGCCATTTCAGTTTAGAGTGTCTCCACACGACATATTCTGTGAGACATTTAAGACCCCTCAGAACTCAAGACACTTTCTAAAGTTGTCTAAAAAATTACCACTAACTACTTTTGGTGTGTTCTCCACATATTCAGAAACTTTGACACCAATGACTGTGAAACGTTAGGCTACCCAAAGTGAACACATCTGGGCATAAATCCTTGCCATGAAGGGTTGGGCGCTACTTACCTGAGAGAATCCTCACTGGCATAGATGGAACCCAGTTCAGTGCCCAGCACCACCCAAGTTAGTGGGGTGCATGCCCGTAATCTCACACTTGAGAGATGAAGGCGGGAGAATCACCAGTGTCCTCCCTGGTCACCTCTATAAGGAGATGTGAGATAGCCTGGGCTACATGAGACCCTGCTTGTTTTTGCTGTTTTGTTTTGTTTTTCTAAAGTTGCTTATCTAAAAAGTTGCTTGGAATCATATCACATACAGTGGGAACCCGACAAAGAACCAGGATGTTAAAAAAATGCAAACGACAAAGGATATACCAACAGGGCCATGGAAGGGAGAACAGGAGAGAGGAGGCTGCATCTTCTCATCCAGGTCTCAGCCTGTGAAATTATTCAGACAGGGAAAATTTGGGGACATGAGGAGAGAGATAGAAGCCATTCATCCTGGACTCAGTGCGAGTCTCTCACTAGCAAAGAAGCAAAATTTCCAGTACAATCACCAGCTGCTCAAGGTCTTTCTCCCTTCCAGTCTTATCCTCCGACTTTTCTCATCAAAGACCCCATTTACAGGGAATGTGCTCCGTAAATATCGTGTGCCCTGGTACCTCCTGGTTTAACTCATCAGAATCTAATTCCAGCTAAGGCATCTCCACAGCTGCCTTGCTTATCTCACTTACTGAGTAAGGAAGCAAAGCGGGTGGTTCTTAGCACCCTTTTGAGATGTGACTTGAGAGTTACCGAAAGGGTTAATGTGACCAATGCTAAGATGGTTGATATTTCTGCCCAGAGAAGCTTGTACACCCTTGTGGGTGTGCTCAGCTTTCCTCTGAGTGTCTCTCTTTCTCTTAATCCCTGTGTTTACTCTTATGTTAAAGTATTTGCAATAAATCCACAAAGCTTTGTTTGACCTGAGTGAAGGTCCTCCAAAGTCCAGGGGAAGTCATCAGGCTGCTGGGGTGGCAGTGTGGATCTGTGTCTCCACCCCCCCCCCACTGCTGACATTACAAAGGAAGGAAACCGCTAAGCTCGTTTTTGATCATTTGTATCTCACAAGGGTGTGAAAATACATCCAATTTATATCTCTCCAGGCAACCAGAGTTCTGGAGTCTTGGTTTGAATGATATTTTCACAACATTATTTCACATAAAGAGAACTTGAGTTTGAAGGAGAAACAGAGCACGGGGCAGGAACAAGTTTCAGAATTCCACGGGTGGAAACTGGGGTAGAATGGGGGCGGGCATGGGGACCACCAGGTGGCTGATAAAGGTGGGAAGCTTCCTGCTGGAAAATTCCAGTGTTGCTTTGACAAATGAACTCTACTTCCTGCCATATCCAATTGTGACTCACTGTGTTATAAACTATAATTCACCACCAGATGCCCAGCTCCTGGGGTCATTGCCGCCTCCTTGCTTGAAAGCCAGTGTCTCCTCCATCATTAAATATAATAAAAACACCTCCATGAGTGACTCGGTAGGCTCCTCTACACAGTCTGCGCCCACAAACCTGTGCCCATAGCCGTTCCCAGAATGTTCATGTCTATGAGCCTCCGACTTCATTTAATGCTATCCTCTCCACAATGTGGTTTCCATCTCTCCCCCATAACAGTTTCACCATTCTCAAACTCCAGCCCATAACACAAATCCTGTAAAATTGTCCTTAATCTTTCCTTTTATTTAATAACACCATGAACTTATTTTGAATTTTTCTTCTCATCCATTCATTCTTTATTGCTATCTACTAAATTATGCTTCCTTAAAATTCCTGTGTTAAAATCCTAACTTCAATAGGACCTTCAAGATGGTCATTAAAGTGAGGTGAGGCTGTAAGGGTAGGGTCTAATCCAACAGGACTACTGTCTTGGTAAAACAAGGAAAAACACCAAATTGCAGCTCTGTGCACAAAACACAGATAAAGGGGAGACACTGAGGCCCCTGAAGGCCTTGGAGAGAGACTTCTAGGGGATCTCTGGAAAGGTAAGTCTCTGTTGTTTAAACCACTTAGACAACAGAGTTTTATTATAGTTGCCTAAGAAGACTACTGTACTTACCATACTTTTATTAAGAACTTCCCACATATCAACGCTCTCAACCATGGCTTCTGGGCATCAGTTGTCTCCTCTGCCCAAAAGGAAGCTCTGTGAGGACCAGCCAGACATACACCTTCTGTGTCCAGAGGCTCCCTCAGCTACAAAATAAAAACCACGCTTTGCTTAAGCTGTGCATTAGACCTGGGGAAAGGCAGCTTCCTTTCTTCCACATATCCCACTCCTCTCCTGAGCAGTCAGGCTACACGCATTAATCTCCTAGCCAAGAAGCAGTTCGCTGTAAGGGCATGCTCGTGGCACAGCAGGGCTCCTCTCCCTTCACAGTTCAGCTAAGAAAGGTAAATGCTTTCCAGACTGGCTGCCTCTCCTCCCAGCTCATCCTGCTTTGTTCTAATAATCCAATCCTGTGTGTGCACATTTTGGAAAAGCACAAGCAAGATGTGTCAGGTTCCTTCTCTCTCCTCCCATCTTGGGCTTTTCACAGTTGACTGCAAAAGACTGCCCAAGTTCAACAAAATCGATTTTTTCCATTTAAATAATCTGGGCTCCATAAGCCCCTTAATACCCAAACAAAAGCCACTTAAGGCACAGCAAGATAATTAATACAGAAAACAGTCTCCACAGGGGGACTCTACCTGCCCTTCCACATTTTCCAGCCTGAGGAACTCTCTAGAATGTATGTGTACAGTTAGGGGAAGCTTTACTACCAAACATGAATTCCATTTTAACAGGCCTTTTCTTCCACATATTTTGCAACTTGATCAAATTAACTGGCCGAATAGTAATTAAAAATGCATTAGGAGGCAGTTTGCCTTCCATGGCTTTGCGAATATTCTTCCTGATGTTTTGAGAACCCATTGAGTTATAAAAATTGATGCACTGAGTTTATTTCTTTGCCGTAGCCCTACACAGTGTACAAACCCACTGACGTGGTAGACACTGTGAAGCCAGGGGAAAGGGAA